CACTTTCATGATACCTACCGTTATTGCTCGAGTGACAGCAATTGTCTAGAGTAACGATAAAATGTCTTAGAACCTTCGTATTCACAAAAACATGTACTTTTCGAACTAGTTTAGCAAACGATCGTTTGCTGTAAACCTTGGGACTAGAGCCGGCAAACAAAAATGTTACACGCGCTCTGCTGCAGCCTTTAGCTGATTACTGTCAGTCTGTCCATCTCTTTACAGTGGCACACCACGGGTTTTCTCGATGGGCATCACCTCCCCGTGACACTGCCTTCATCGCTGCCTCGGGTCTCCTAACGGCATATATATAGTATCCCTCGACTGCGCACAGCTCCCCGTTGCTCCGTCTTCCCTGAAGGCTGGCACCTCCCTTTGGTCCGCAACGTGCCGACTCTCAGCAGTGGCTTTAGAAGATCTAGCAGTCCTGCGCGACCGACGCTCTGGCTCGCACGATCTGTTTCCACGTTCGTGCGCTCTCGATATTTTGCGTTGCAGATGACGGAAGCCTTTGAGCTGTCTACACTCCACACTATTTTAACAGATAGAAACCCCGAAGGCAAATTATGACGAGTTTCCAACTAAGTTTTAGTGTAGAAAACACGATAGTAGATCAAAACGAGCTTTCATCACATTGTTGGGTAGGAATATACAAGGGTAGACTGTGACAGGGTTCGTACACAGTGAAACAAAATATCCAATTATTTAAGAGGCTTCAATGACTCTCCAGACAGGAAAAATGGCAGTTTTAATTTGAGGGACTTTCCATGTTTTTTATTGGACCTGGTGAATCCATGTGTAAACTGGACCAGCAATGCTGCCTAGATTCCCACCCACAACATCTACATTTGCTCACCTATTCTAGAGTAGTCTTCCTAACGAGTGTAGCTGCATTGATAACCCGGCCGCAACCGAGTGAGACTCATAACCAGACCCATCTGCGTGAGAGAAAAGAAGCGCACAAGATGTTAAACCACCAAGTATTTCCTCGCAAAACTGTACAATAATACCGCAACCAATACCGGACGACTATATAGAAGAGGCTATAACCTTCTGTGTATTATGATTAGTTTATTCACGCTGTCTGTGAACAACTGTTCTATCGCTGTTGAAAATATCATGGACAATTAATGATCATATCAAGGACAATGCCAAAATATTCCAATTGAAATTGTTAGTTGCTCGTTACATAGAGATGGTTTCACGTTATTACTGCTACGCAGTGGTTATATCCAAATAGGTATTTACAGGCAGCTGTGTGTTCTACAGGAATTGCCTCGTATAACTGCCATTCAAGGGACACGGTAAGTCTCATTTCTTAACATTGACAAATGTATGTTCTGTAGAGGTTTCTGCTAGAACAGGGGGAACTGTACTTGGTGTTTCTACATCAGCTCACAGCTTAATGTTCAGTACAACGACTCTGTCACAGAGGCTAACACTTTGCAATGGGATAGATACAGCTGCCTTGTCTACACATGCAGACATGACGTAGGCTAACACGGGGTTGACTGCACTTCATTGTGTAGCAGACAGACGGAGAGAGAGAGAGAGAGAGAGAGAGAGAGAGAGAGAGAGAGACAGA